CCCCCCGATACTAACAGGCACCAGCTGCAACCTAAAAAGGAAAAAGAAAGTACAGAAATGATGGATGAATTGTTTATTTTGTGTTTTTTTCCTCTCCGTGGGTTCACCCTTGCTCTCTCTTCAGCTCCACGCTGTGATTCATTCCGCACGTCTTGTTTACGCACTTCCTGCTTTGCAGTGACCTTGTTTTCTTTTTCTTTTCTTTTGTGCGTCAACCAAACAAATGTTTTAGCTTCACTTATTAACTTGCTTTGGGTTTGGTGACGATCTCTTGAGTCTGCTGAATGTTTTACTTTATCTTGATATTCAAATCGACTCATTTTAGTGCCTTCCAAAGACAAGAGTTTTACTGTATCCTGATAGATAAAAATACAGAACTAAAAGAGTTTATCTCATGACTCTATGTCTGTAGTGTGCGGAGTTTTATTATTACCAAACATGATTTAAGTGAAGAGTTAGATTTTTTTCACTGGTTTGTTTTTCTGTTTTTCTGATTCTGTGTGTTTCTTGTGATTCCTCAGTGAGGTGCTGAAACACAAAGACCTGGATGGCCACATAAAGACCGCCTGTCTGGGTTCCCTGCTGCTGCAGGACAGCTTGAACCGTCTGGAGGAGCAGTACCTGAGCCACAGAGAGGTAAACCCGTAGTTCTTTCTTACTTTTTTGAACATTTGAGTGAACACGTTGTCTTCCTCACTTGTCTTCCTCACTTCTCCCAGGAGCAGGTGAAGCTGTGGCTGAGCACGGCTCTGAAGAAGGAACAGGAGAGCTGGCTGAGCGGGAAGACCCCCGAACTCATCGGCAGTTACTTCTTCAGCCCACTTGCCATCGACGTCATACAGGTGAGAGCCCAAACAGACGGTCCGTCTCTGTGGTTCTCAGAACCAGTGGAACCTGAGCTTGTGTCTGTGTCTGCAGGTGATGAACAGCTCCCTGACCGAGTTCAGCCACACCATCAAAGACCAGAGCAAAGCTCAGAGGCTCCTGGTTCAACTGGAGAACTTCCTCAGCAGGTAGACCACGCCCACCACAGGAATGGAGACCACTCAGATTAGCACTTTTAGGCCCCGCCCACACGAGAATTCCAACTGTCTTTATTGTTTCAACTTTAAAGTGCCCGTGTTGTTATTTTCTTGTTATTAATATAGATGCTTTTTTTAAACATAACATTAATAACTTATTTCAAAATTAATTTTATGTTGCTAAGGTTAACTGTTGTTGAGATATTTGCATATGAAGAAACAGGAAGTGATGTCATAGGGGAATGTGTTTGTGTTTCAGCTACAGGAAGTGTTTGGAGGAGTTTGTGAAGGGTAACCACAGTAACGTGCTCTCAGTGATCAAGGCTCAGCTGGTGTGTGAGCAGCAGCTCAGGTGAGTTTGTACCTGTGTGATAATTACCTGCTGTATTTACTGTATTTACTCAAGTATAATACGTAAATCCATAAAATCATCCATAAAGTTGGGGGGTTGTACTGTACTCGGATAAATATTTTACTTATGTATTTTAACTGAAATATCGGCTTCACTCACAAAATTATTGAGTCCAGAAATGAGACCGCGTCGTAAAATCAATTGAAACGAGCTCACCTCTGACACTCCTCCGTGCTTCAGAGCGAGATAATAACAGATCCAAGCAGGAGACATGATGTGAAAAAATGGGGGGGGAGTATTCCTGCTCCTTAGTAATGATAACGAAATAATGACATTAGTGTGTGACCGGGCCACTCCTCGAACAACAACAAACACATGTTCATCTGTAATGGCTGCCGTCTACCGGTGTTCTGAAAAAGTTTGTATCCCTGAAAAAAGGTTTCCCCACCAGAGAGCTCATGAGTAGGAAGTAATCTGCTTTTCCCGCAGAAGATGGTCCAAATCTCATGTGAAGTCTCTGACTTTTGTGTTGGCG